AGAAGAAAATACGTGCTATTTATGGCGGGAGGAGGAGATGGGGGAGGGGAGTTCCGCGGTACGATAGTGGGCCCACCGGCGAGCCGGAGGGCCGTGGCCGGAGGGCCCCGGGGGGGGCTTGGGGTCAGTTGTCGGAGGAGGCGAGAGATGAGCTGACGCGGCCTCTGAGAGTGGAGTCGGGACGTGCGGGCTCACCGGGGGAAGGCCAGTCGCGGTGGCAACCGGACCACCGCGACCTTCGACAGGGAGGGCCACGCCTCCCCGAGCCTGGAGAGGAGCCGGCGGAGGGGGGTGGCGAGCCGAGGACGATAGAGAGGCCGCGGGTGCGGGCGCGACTCGTCAACCAGGGAGAGCGGGCTCGACCCCCCTGGGAGGGGAGGCGACACGACCCAACGCCGCCGCCCCCGCCCGGGGAGACCTCGGCCGGGCCGTCGACGCCCTCGAAAGCGGTGGAGCCGGGAGAAGCTGGCGGAGATGAAGGGTGGCAGCGGAGGAAGCGACACCAACAACGAAGGCATCTTCGACACGGAGATGGGCTGGACCAAGCAGGTCCTCGACCGGCTGACGGGGCGGCGGCCAGCGAGCTGGCCCTCCCTCAACCAGGTCATCAACGGCGAGTTCTTCACCACTGACGGCTGGCAGCTGTCGAGCGACGCCGTCTCGGCGGAGATCCTCCAGCGGTGGGAGATGCCGCCCTTTAGCGGTGCGGGTGGCTCTCGGCAACGCCTCCACTGCAGCGCTCCTTATGCGTGGCAGGCTCGGGTGTAGGTCGCACCACGCTCAAGCTGACCGTGCCCGACCTCGGCGGAGAGCACGCGCTGCTCTACCAGCAAACCTTTGGCTCGCACATGGCGCGCTCCCAGGAGCCGGGCGAGCCCACTTGAAGCCGGCGATCGCCCCGCCGCCACCGCCGACCTCACCGCTCCCCTTGCCTTCGCTGGGATCGTGGCGATTGGAAGTCGGAGACTGCCGTTATGCACCCAACGGCGATTTCAGTTGGACCCAGCTTCGCACCGAAGGTCGCCTCGGCTCGCCGCATGCCAGTCGCGCTGCGCCACAGCCTCCAGCTGCGCGGCATTTGAGTGGCGCAGTGGCTTCTGGTGCAATCTCATGGGTACGACGGCGTCAACGCCTCGGGGACGACTTGCTACTTCAAGATCGCACCACCTTTAGTTCAGTTCCTCTCCGCCGCCGCCCCATCCTGGGGCGCTCACAGACCGAGGTGTACGAGATGGACGCCACATTCTTTTAATGCCCTGCATGCGCGCACACACACACACACACACACACACACACACACACACACACTCGCGGGGCCGGGCTGCGTACTAGCGCATGGAGATACATTCACATGCACATGCACATGCACATCACATGCAGATTAGGAGAGATTTTAGGGACGATAGAGAACGTGTGAAGCATGTCACACTCATTCGCATAGAATTCCCTTGCGACATCCCCACCACTTTGTGTGCACTCGCCATCTCGCTTACGTTGCCTTCATGAGAGTGTTTGGGTAGCATGCGGTCTCTAAATTCTTTTCCGTAAAATTCTTTTTCCGCCACTCGGTTTCTTTTCTTTCTGTCAGCCAGACCCGGGGCCCGCCGCCGGGGCGCCGTATGGGCCTCGGGGTGCCCGAGAAGTTTCGAGGTGCGGTTGTTTTTGCTTGTGTGTCTATCGGTTCATGTCATGGACCGGCCCTGGGAAGCCTTTGACCACGCGCGGAGGGTGTTACGGGGCCGTGATGATTTAGCGGGTTGGAAATCGGCCGATATTTGCCCAGTGTGCAGACAGCTGATCTTAGAATCGCTCCGCCGCAGCACCCCCCGCCACCCCCCAGGCGCGGGCGAGGCGCGGCCAGGCGCAGGGCCACCCGTCCCTCCTCTGTGTTCGTTTTCCCACGCGATCTGGGATCTGCTCCATTGAGCACTCGCACAAGAATCAAATGGGAGCTGGACTATGGTTGGACTGCCGTGAATCGCGAAACCGCGAAACGTGCTCGGCCCAAACCCAAAACCCCAGCGCGTGTTCATGTGTACATGTGTGCAGGCCACGCGTAGGGACAATGGCAAGCGAAAAGGGGCGCAAGGGGTAACTCCAGGCGGAGGGGCGAACGGAGCGCCGTGCCGCCGCTCTCCTAGGCGGCCACTTTGTTCGACTCGATGCGCATCGTCGTCCGGTCAGCGATGAGCTTGGCCTGGCCGGGGGAGGGGGGGTGAGGGGGGGGTGAGGGGTGGCGGGGGCGGTGAGGAGGGCCGGGGGGCCCCGGGGGGTGGGGGGGGGGGGGGGCGGCAAGGCCCACGGCTTTTGGGCAAGATGTTCTCGGTGAACCAGACGCCGAAGAGGTAGGCGGGCAGGGCTCCAAGGACGATCGAGAGGAGGGGGTCGATGTGCAGCGTCCAGAACTCCACCTCGCACGCCAGGATCAGTCCGCCTGCATCGCAGCCCGCCGCCGGCCGTCAGCCGTCCGCGCACCGGCTCGCGACAGGCCCAGCCGGCGAGGGGGAGGGGAGGGGGGCTCACCGAGCGTGCCGGGCAGGTAGAGGAGCCGCTGCTTGCCCTCGTCCACCTTCATGTCGAACCGGCACGTCCCGTCCACCTTGCACGAAGGCGCCTCGTGCAGCACCACCGGCGAGCCCGCTGTCTTGAGCTTGCGACGGAGCGAGTCGTACTCGCTGTCAGAGAGGAAGGGCTTGCCCATGACGAAGCGCTTGTTGGCGATGAGGTACTTGATCTCGTCCTTCGAGAAGGCCGCGATCCGAGACCCCTCGAACTGCAGGTCCGTCTTGAGCGTCTCGTACTCGGAATCGCCCAGCACCGGCTTCTCGTCGTTGTAAAAGGCGTCGAGGCAGTCGAGGTAGAGCTTCTCCTTCTCGTCGAGCCCGATGCGGCTCCGCTCGCCCGTCTTCACGTCCGCCAGCAGGAACTCGTCGTAAGGCGACGGCGCGCTCGACCCCTCCTCCTGCTGCACCTGCATCCGCAAACGGCTCGCCGCTGCCAGCCGCGGCGGCCGACCCACCAGAGCGCAGCTCGCTGAGGCGGCCGAAGCGGCGGCGCCGCGAGGAGGCGCGCGCGCTGCGGTGAGCACCACCGCCGACGCGGGAGCGAGAAGGCTGAGCAACGCTGCAGATCTGAGCATATGTGGTCGGGCGGTGAGGAGCAGAAGAGGATCTGCGCCGAAAGAATTTTACTCGCGTTGTCTCGAGGTTCTCGAGGTGGATATCCTTTGGCCGCGTTGGGTAGCGAGGATTGGTGTGACGCGATCCACGCAGGCGTGTTTTCTGACGGCCGACCGTCAGTGCACGGAGTTGCCCCTTCTCCGACTGCCCCGGCTAGTTCCCGAGGTCGTCGGGTGTGACCCCTTCGTCCCCCGAGACCTAGCGCGGGTGGGTTGGAGTGGGCTCGCCCCGTTCCTCCCCATCGGGCCGCGTGAGCGGCCTCGCCTCGCAGATTCGTTTTCGCGCCTGGGTCAGGCGCGCGGGGCATCCCCCGGGTCGCTCGACCAGCGATCCGAAGAGTGGCCGCTATGTGAGGGAAAGAGCGGGGCCCTCGACGCCTCAGTCCGGCCCTCCGAGGGGGGAAGGGAAGTGCGGGGTCCCCACGGGCGCCTCAGTTCGGCCCTCCCGAGGGGGGGAGGGGAGCAAGGGGGTGGGGGGATCGGGGTGGTGGGGAGGGGTCTCGGGTTTCATGTGGCTAAGACGTGCCCTTTCGGGGAGGGTATGGGCAGGGATCGCTATCGAGGAGTGGTCTTCCCGACCGCGGCCCCCGCCCTTCCCCTCCTCCCTCGAGGCAGCGAGTAGGCAGCGAGAGGAGGTCTCGAGCGCCTATATGAAGGTATGTGAGATGGTGATGGGAATGGGTGGTCGGGCGGGCGGGCGGGCGGGCGGGCGGGCGGGCGGGCGGGCAAGCAAGCGGGGAGCGGCGGGCGGGCGGGGCGGAGCGGGCGGGCAGGGTTATCGGGGGAATCGTGTCCACAATCAGCGGCAGCGGAGCAGCAGCCGCAGCAGCAGCTGCTGCAGCAGCAAGCAGCAGCCAGATTGCTGCCGTTGTCTGCGCCGCGATCCGCCGCCGCGCCGCCGCGCCGCCGCCGCCTGCGCTCGCCGCCGCCTCGTAGACGACTCCTCTCGCGCTCGGAGAGCCGCGCAGCGGGCCGCGAGGTTGTGGTCAGAGAGCTCGTCGACGACACGATTCACGCTAATACCAACTGGCTGTCCACTTGTGCTTTTGAATGAGTGGGCTGCACGGCTGTCTGTTTACAGGCGCCGTCCGCCCGCGCGCGCGCCGACCCAACTCCGAGCACGCTCGCTCGCCGCTGGGCGGCGCGCGTCCACACTGCGTCGGCAAAACGCGACGCAGGAGCTCGCTCGCTGCTGCTGCGGCGGCGGCAGCGACGGCGACTGCCAGCTGCCGGCTCCCGGCCGCCGGCTGCCGGCTGCCGGCGGCCGGCTGCTGCCGGCTGACGGCTGACGGTGACGGCTGCGGCGAACGGCGACGGCTCGGTTCGCGTTCGCGCTCCGCGAGGGTGCGACTGAGCCTGCCGCGCTCGATCTGGGAGCCACTCGGCGCCAGGTCGAACGGCGGTCGGCTCGGCCACTGCGGGGCGACGCATGATAGAGCATGCTGGGCGCCGCATCATGTACTACAGTGGGTTGCGGGCATTAAGAAAACAGGATTCCGCGGCACGCCGCCGTTTCTACGCCTTTCCACAGCCCTCATCCACCCCACGCCGTGGTTTCTTAGCTCCGGCCGGGGCACTCAAGCTAAACTCAAGCCAGAGCGCCGGCCCGAAAGATTTTTAGGTAAGAGGTAACTTGGTAAGCTGCGGTCCGCCCGCGAGGGCGATGCCAGAGTCTGCCGCCGAGTCGGCTCTCTGTCTGGATGACGGGAAGACGCACACACGCCTCCGTTCACTCCAGAACACCGCAGACTTGGAAAGTGACAAGTGCGCACGCCGCAGGCGAAGAGAAATTTTGAGCTGGGCCTCCCGTCCACACTCGCGTCTGGCCTTTTCTCGGGGCCGCGCCTGCGGCGCGCCGTGGTTTCTTATATTTTTTTGCGGAAATCGCTTGGTAGGGAGGTTTCTTAATGCCCGGGGAACCTTAATGGGACGCTTTCTTAATGCCCGCAACCCACTGTACCGCTCCACGCCAAGGCGCGGGGCGGCAGTGCTCATCGGCGCTCGCGGCGCTTCGGTGCTCGGGCGCGCTCACCAAGAAAAGAAAGAAAAAAGGTTTGGAGCCTAAAAGAACAACCAAGGGAGGGATGGGAGAACGGCACGCCGCCACCACACAGGGATTTTAAGGAGAGGGGTGTGATGCGCTAGCCGTCGCCCGCCCTGTCTGCTGCGACTCACAGCTAGTTGTTTTCTTTAAGTGTTTTGGGTTCGTGGATCTTTCCCGCCCAGAGCGACTGCATTCTACATGTCCACGCCCCTCTCCGCCTACGAGATCGAGCGGCTTAAAAACATCGAGCGCAACCAGGCTGTCCTCGCTCAGCTCGGCCTCGAGGCGCTCGCGCCTCCAAAGCCCACCGTCGTCCGCAAGCCAAAGGTGCAGCGCCCGCCGACAGAGCCGAGCCGGAAGAGCGGCCGCATCGCTGCGTTGCCCGCCCCCTCGGTCTTCATAGACGCTGAGCATTCCAACGGCAAGGTCGTGCTGGGTGGTGTGGACGCAAAGGCCGCAAAGGCGGCCGCCGAGAAAGCGGAGGAGGAGGCTGCGTCGGCCGCGGCTCCGCTGGACGAGGACCCGGCCCCGGCATCGGAGGCGGAGCTCTTCCCAAACGAGGCGCTCGTGTACGGCCTCTTGCGCGACGAGAAGAACAGGATCGCCCGCGAGAACGATTGCGCCGCCTACCACGTCGCGCAGAACCGCGCTCTCATGGCGATGGTGCGGTGCGTGCCTCGCTCAGTCGAGGCGCTGCTCAGCTGCTGGGGTTGGGGCGAGGCAAAGGCGAGATCTCACGGCGCGCGCCTCCTCGCGACGCTGGAGCCGCACGCCGCGGCTCTTCGGGAGGCCAGGCGCGGGAGGGCGGCGGACAGGCAGGAGGCTGCGGGGGCGACGGAGGCTGCAGGGGAGGCTGCAGGGGCCGAGGGCGAGGAGGAGGTGCTCGAGGTTGAGGACGACCTCCCCAAGACGCGCGACGATCTGCGGCCGCAGGAGCTGCCGGCCTACGAGGCGATGCTCGCGTGGAAGCGCGCCCGCGCAAAGGAGCTCGGATACAACGACCCTTGCGTCATCTGCCACACTCGCACTCTCTGCGAGCTGGCGCGGCTCGCTTCCTCTGGCCCTCTAACCTCGCCCTTGACCTCCGGCATCACCTCGCATCCTCCCGCCCCTCCCGCCCCTCCCCCGCCTATCCGCGCCCAGGTGCGCCTCCTCCCGGCCACGCCCGCCGCGCTCAACGCAGTGTGGGGCATCGGCGCGAAGCGCATCGCCCAGCACGGCGACCTCATGCTGTCCTCCCTCCTCCCCTTCCGTGCGGACCTCCTCGCCACCCGCCCCGCCGCCAAGCGTGCCGCCAAGCGAGCCAACGCCGCCGAGACGGACGCGCAGCCCCGCCGCAAGCCGCGCGCCGCCGGCGGCAGCGGCACTGGCGGCGGCGGCGGCGGAGGCGGAGGCGGAGGCGGCGCGGGGCTGTCGGACGCGGGGCTGCTACCGGGCGAGTGGCGGGACGAGGTTGGGGAGGAGCTCGCCTCGGAGGCCTGGCGTGCGCAGGCGGAGGCGCTCGGCCTTCCCAACGGCGATTGGGCGAGCCGCCGGGCGCGGTGCGCGCGCGTGCTCGGATGCGAGGCGTGCGCGCGCTTCGTGGCGGCCGGGCGGCCCATGGACTACGCGCCGATGAGTCAACGGATGCTGAACGTGCTCGCATCGCCCGGCGCGTACGGCTCGCACGCGGCGGCCGCCGCAGCGGGCTGGCGCTGGCACGCGTCGCCCAACCACGGGCAGGGGTCGCACGCGCATCAATGGTGGCCGCCGCAGCAGCTCGTGCCGGAGGGGGCCAAGCTGCCGCTGGGCACCTACGCCGCCCTAGCACTGATCGAGCGGGTTGACCTTAGAGGCTGAAGTCCGGCGCATGGCTTCGGGCTTTGCCGTGCCAGGCTCTGCGAGGCGGGCGTCCTGCCGAACACGATAAAATCAGCGCAAGAAGACCCCTTGCGCGAGCCTCGCGGGCGCGGCTGACACACGGGCGCGAGCTAGGGCGCGAGGGCAGGCGGGACAGGGGGAAAGGTGCAGGTACAACAAGTCGCCTTGCGATTGGGTTTGCACAGCATCTTGCGTTAACAAAAACAAGACCGAGTGCGAGAGAGACCAACCTCGCGCAAAGAAGAGAGAGGGTTAGAGGGTCAAGAAGTCGCTCAAAACACCCCATGCGCTGCACAAAACACTGGGGTATCGTGGGAGCGGCGGCTCTGGCGCGCACGCGCGCCTGTGCCCCCGACCGCCCGACCGAGGTGCGAGAACAGTGTCTGACACAGCACAGTACAAACTCCGGGACCAGCTGTACACGCGTGTGCTCGCCCACGACCCGACCCAACTACCGGCCGCCGCGACCGTTTCCACACCCCTGGCCCTGCAGAGGGCGGAACACACGTGCACTTGAACAACGGAGCTCGGAGGACTTACTCGACTGCATACAGCGCCATGCGGTACGGCCCTCCCAGAGGCTCGGCCCCAAGCCCAGCCACCTCGTCCTCGCATTCGGCGTCGTGCGCATAGTCGAGGTGCGCGGGAGGCGCCGCCAGCGGCAGGCACTGCGCCTCTCCTGGCGCCTTGAAGCCGCCGGGGTACTCCATTCCGAAGCTGCTCCACCCCCGCGACTCGTACAGCCTGTGGCCGCCGATCATCACGCAGCGGCGGGAGGAGAGCCCGCTCAGCCGCATCGACGAGGAGCTATTCAAGGGCAACACCACGGATGCCCCCCAGCCCGCCTACTTCAACAGCCCGCGCCCTACCAGCGCACCGATTCCGCCAGAGTACGTCTGTGCGGGAGATGGCGTCTGCCGGCCCGCGTCGGCTCATATCCTGTGGGAGCACTTGCACGTCGCAAAGACGGGCGGGACCTCGCTCTCGTTTGCGCTGACAAACATGCTTTGCGGCCCCACTATGGGCGCCATGCCGGAGGGCCTTGAGCCGTGGGAATTGCGAGGGACCCGCGCTTGCGTCAACACGATGCTGGACACGGAGCTCTCGTGGCCGGTCGTGGCCGAGATTGAAGGCATGAAGCGAGAGGAGCACGCGGGGCTAGATGCCATTGCGCTGCGCGGTGCCAACATGCAGAAGGCGCTCACGCCGTGGCATATATCCCCGGAGCCGAAAATCGTCTTTGTGACGGCGCTGAGGGACGGCAAGTCGCGTGCGATGTCTCACTGGGCGCACTGCACGCTGCAGCCACCGGTCGTCGTGAATGACGGAAGCCGGCGCTGCACACTCGGCATGATTCCGATGCCCGAGACGCCACGATGGGACGACGAGTCGCTGCTCCTCTTCCTCGAGCGCGATTCGCAGGCGATGCGCAGGTCCGGCAGGCCCAAGCAGGGCCTGCGGGTTAACAACGCGCTGGTCGGGGCCCTGTCGTCCCTGCCGCACCCGGACGTGATGCTCAACCCTGCGCACCTCGAGCTAGCCAAGCAGGCGCTGCTGTCCTCGAGGTACGAGCTCTCCGACGGGCGGCAGCTGCAAGGCTTCTCCTGGGTCGTCGGCTTCACCGAGTGCCTCGACGATATGTACGTCCATCTCGCTCGCCGGATGGGCGTGCCGGACCACTTGGCGGAGGAGACGGCGGGCGTACGCTACGAGAAGCGGTTCTCAGAGCACGACGCGGACGTCACAGGGCGGCGGCGGCAACTGCTTCTCGACAGTGACCCCGCGGAGCGGTTGCTGCGGAGACTAACGGACTCGGCGGGGCTGACGCAAGGCTCAAAAATGGCGGCGCTGAAGAACGGCCTCGACAACTCGCTGTGGTTGTGGGCGCACATGATGGCCGGGAAGCAGCGAGGCGAGGTCTTGCGACGCTTCGACGGCGAGGCATCCTTTGTGGGCTGCAGTTGAGACAGCTGAGGTACGGCTCTATCGTCACGTGGGGGGTGTGTGCGCGGGGGGGGGGCATTAAACGAGAGGGCGGCAAAGGCGCCGCCCACGCCACGCTGTGCCCCTACTGCGGCAACGTGAGAGGTGAGACTACCCCTCTACCCGACTACCCCCCAGCAGCAGAGATGTCAGATTCAGTTTCGCCTCTCTCACGTGCGGCCCCGGGCGAGCTTTTCACGCGGCCCACCCGCCGCCGCCGCGCTGCCCGCACGGCAACCTGCGCATTGCGCGTGCGTGGGTCTGGCGGGCCGCGCGCGTGTGTATTGTGTAAATATGTTGTGTGTTGTATCGAAAGCAACGACTCAGATTAGCTCTAACTCAGAGAACAGTTTTGGTATGCAGATGAGATCTCATCGTCTCACTGTGGATGAGCACACATTGTTTGTGGGAGGAAAGAGAGATGGGGCCGCGTGGGCATCACTCCAGACACTTTGCGGCGACCAGCTGCAGCTCTGTCGGGTGCTCGCCGTTGATCTTGGCGGCGACGCTTCTCTCGAGCGCCGAGACGACCGGCGCGAGACAGGCGGGGCGCGCCTTGGCGAGACGGGCCCACGGCGGGCCGATGAGGGCGGCGAGGATTAGGGCGGCGACGGAGGCAGGCGCCTGCGCGCCCGCGGCGCCCTCGCGCGAGCAAGTTGCGACGAGGGAGAGGAGCCGCGCCTCGGCTCCTTGAGGGAGGGAGCCGGCCCGCACCAGCCGCGCGACGCCGAGCGCAGCGCACAGCTCGGTGGGCGTCGCTGCCCTCGGATCGGCAGCCGTGCCCGCACCAGCGTTTGTGGCGGCGGTGTCGGTGCCGATGGAGGGCTCCTCGCACGCCAACCTGCCCATCTCTCCCTCGCACGCCAACCTGCCCATCTCTCCCTCGCACGGCGGGTCCGCGTCCGCGGCCTCCGCTCCCGCGCCGCAACCCTCCTGTCCTCCCGCGTACTCTGCCTCCAGGGCCTCCAGGGCCTCCCCGCCCCCCTCCCCGCCCCCCTCCCCGCCCCCCTCCCCGACCCCCTCCCCGACCCCCTCCCCGACCCCCTCCCCGATGTACAGGTGGACAAACGACTTGAGCGCGGCACGGCGCTGCGCCCCACCTCCCCCGGCAGCGGCCTCCTCGAGGGCAGAGCCGCCGGCCGAGCCGCCGCGCTGCGCCTCCTCGAGGGCGGCAGCTTGAGCCTCGGCCGCTGCGACAGCCGCCTCGAGCGCCCCCTCCCCCGCCGCCTCCTCCCTCACCGCCGCCTCCTCCTCCGACGCCTCCGCCCTCTTCGCACCCGCCCTCCCCTCCGCGTGCAGCACCGCCCGCTCGAGGGTGGAGAGCATGTGGTCGAAGACAACGGCCGGCGCCGGCCCGCTGCCCACGTCCAGAAGCGCGACTGGAGTCAGAGAGGTGAGTGCCGCCAGCCGGCAAAGTGGCGGCACAGCAGAGCGGTGGATGGCGCAGAGGTTCTCGGCGACGGCGCGCAGCTGCTTGGCGCGGTGCGCGCCAGTCTGCGGCAGAGCCTGTGCCCAGCGCGGCATCAGCGTGCACAGCGCCGCCAGCTCCAGCGCCTGCCCGCCGTCCTCGACCGACTCGGCGACGCGCCGCTCGAGGGAATGGCGTAGAGCGTGGAGCGCGCCCTCGCCCGTGTCTGCAAGGCAGAGAGGGAGGCCTCGCAAGGAGGCGAGCAGCTCGCAGAGGTCCGTCTCGCTGGCCGACGCCAGGGGCATGGCCCGGCCAGCGAAGCTGAGCGCAGAAAGCACCTCCGGGAGCGGAGCCTCGAGCACCCGCGCCAACGATGCGAGCTCGCCAATCGCAGAGAGGAGGCTCATCTCGCCGCGCAGCGCGGCGGCGACGGCGGCGCGGGCGGCGGTGTCGAACTCGCTCTGCATTAGAGGCGGCAGCCCGCTCGGGGCCGAGCCCAGAAGGTCGTTACTGCAACGCCGCCCGGCAACGCCGGGGGCGCGAAGTCATCGATTTCTTTTTCCTTGTAGAGGAAGCCAAGGTTGCATGTTATATGTCCACCCGCCGCTCGCGCCGCCTCGCCTCCTCCTCCACCGCCGCCCCCTCGCCGGACGCGCCGCCGCCCGCCCGCCTCCTCGACCTCCCCAGGGAGCTCCTCGAGCGCGTCCTCTCTCGCTTCGACAGCCCCATCGACATCGCTCGCGTCGCGGCCGTCTCGCTGCTCTTCCACGCCTCGCTTGCGGAGGAGGCCATCCGCTTGTGGGCGCAAGGGCGCGGCTTCGAGCTGCCGCCGCAGCCGGAGGGCGAGGGCTGCGCCGTGCGCTGGCTGTGCTTTGCCGCGCTCTTGCGCGAGTCCAACGCGCCGGCAAGGGCTGCGGGAAGCGCTCGGCACAGCCTCTTCATCGACGGCGAGGGGCGGCTGTCGTCGTGTGGGAAGGCCGAGGACTGGACGCCAGGGCTCCTCGGCCACGGCGAGGGCGTGACCCGGCTCAACACGCTGACCCGCCTCCCGTCGACGCTGGGTGACGAGTGCGCCGTGAGTGTGTCGGCTGGAGGCGGCCACAGCCTCGCCTTCACCGCCGACGGCGCTGTCTGGAGCTGGGGCCATGGAAGCTTTGGCAGGCTGGGCCACGGCGACGAGCAGGGCCAGCTGCTGCCGAGGAAGGTCGAGGCCTTTGCTGGGCGGCGCGTCGTCGCTGTCTCGGCTGGAGCGCACGACAGCTTCGCCATCACCGCCGACGGCGCTGTCTGGAGCTGGGGCGATGGCGAGGATGGCAAGCTGGGCCACGTGACCAGCAGAACCAGCTGCTGCCGAAGAAGATTGAGGCCTTGACTGCCCGGCGCGTCGTCGCCGTGTCGGCTGGAGCGCACGACAGCTTCGCCATCACCGCCGACCCGCGCAGGCGTGGGGGCTGGGGCAGTGAGCGAAGGGGGAGCAGAGCAGGTTGTCAATGAGCCTGTCCTGGGTGGGTGGGCGGGGGGGGGCTCGCCGTCCTCGCATGAATCTCGCGAAGGCAGCTCCAGATGCAAAGCCACAAAGGGTGTGGCGTTTTGCACATGGGGGCCAATGGGAAGGGCGAACACCACGTACGACGTAGCGCTGTGCGGGAAGGGGGGCGTCGAGATGATCAATTTGATAAAAAAACACCCACACGAGCGCGAGGGCGGCATTGCACTCGCGACTTGGCAAGCTTTGGGGGGTCTTGCCGGTGCGGCCGGTGCGCCGGTGCGTGCACCGGTGGCGCAGCAGCAGCGAGCCACGGCAGCCTCAGGCCAACAGCCGGCCAGCCTCCGCGCAGAAGGCCTGCGCAAAGGCTTCGTCGGAGAAGCGGGTCGCCACCGACTCGCGCGCCGCGGCCGCCATGGCGGCGCGGCGCTGCGCGGCGCGCGGCGCGAGCGTCAGCTGCGCGAGGGCCTCGGTGTACTCGCGTTCTGTCGCCGCGAGCAGCCCAACCTTGCCGCGGGGAGGGGGGGTTCCTGTTGGGCTGGCTGCGGGGCGGCCCCTTCCTTCTCCGCCCCTCTCCGGCTGCATCTGGGGCTGCATCGGGGGCTGCATCTGGGCTGCATCTCGGGGGCACATCTCCGGGTATCACGGCTTGAATCTCCGGCTACGGCTCGGGAACCCTTTCCCCGCGGGCTTT